GTAATTCTCACCCTTATTGCTGTAGGGTTGGCACTAGAAGCTTCCTTGGGGCCCATGGTCACTTATTTTGCAGATAAAATCGCCAAAAACACTGTAATAATACGAAATGTTCTGATTGCATGCTTGGATGTTACCGCGGAGGCTGGCTGGTAAACAATGCCACCGGCGGCACATGTGAGGCTGGCTAAGGGCGCACATTGGACGCGTCTCGGACGAAGAACGGTGAGCGGGTTTTTGAGTGGTATGCGAGGCAAAATTTTTGCGATAAAAGCGAGCGGTATGCGGATTGAACGTTATGCGATGCGTACGGTATGCGGGGGTCCACTGTAATGCGACTGCAGAACATGCACAATTGAGAACCTGGAGAAGTTTTGGAACCTCTTCAGGATAGTCTGTCATAGCTAGATCATCTTCCTGCACTGGCCGGGTGTCGGAAGAGTCAGCAGCAGACTCACCTGGGAGAACTGCACTTATGAGGAGGTCAGCTCAGACTTCACCCTCCAGTCTCAACAGGAGAGAGAATCTGACAAGATCGACAAGTGAGGTATCCTTCCGCAGGGGAAATTCTCGACAGTGTATGTTGACAACCAGGACTTGCAACTTACCACATTGCACTGTGTGCAAGGACGGTTCAAGGGAGAGGCCCTTGACTCTGCACGTGTCATTGTTGACCAGCACATGATCTCCTTCAAAAGCTCTGCTCACGTACACCATAACAGGAGTGAGCGAGTTAGCTGACAAAGTGATGTCATACTTTGTATAAGCGGTAACTCTGCTCGTTGATGCCATGACATGAGTCAGACAGTTGCCTGCCGACAGGGAGACTGTGGCTTGACAACTGCTGTTCTCTACATCAACGCTAGAGTTAGAGTGAAGGTTAGACTGGGCATCCCCAATGTGGGTTTCACTGGTAACTAAGTGCTGATGGCCAGGAGGTGATGAGAAACAAGCTCTCTTATGAGGTTGATCAGGACAAGAGGCCGACCTTGGGGAAAATGTGCTACAGAAACCATCGGTTTCCAACGATTCCAGAAGCTGTGCATACTCCGAGACAGAGTAGCACGTAGTGGATCCTAAGCGTACGCCCCAGGACACATCCACTCCATTGAAATCTGCTTTCCACTCAGCTGGATCTAAGCGGATCCTAAGGTCTGCCATAGTCTTAAACCCAATAAGCAGGTCGCCAGGGACAACAATATCATCAACGACTAAGAATTTTGCAGACAGCTTGTGACTCCAGACAACAAATTCTAACGTTATACATCCACGAACCATCAGAGGACTACCTGAGACTCCTCTCAAGGTCTGAATGAAAGACAGCTCTGTCAACATGGCCACATGAAGGCCGATGTCATGGAAGAGAGTGGAACGAACGATGTTAACCACTGAACCTGTATCGAGGAAAAGCTGAACAGGCTTACGGTGAACAGTAGACTCAACGAGCAGTCCACACCGGTTGTCATACTGAACGTGAAAGCATGACAGGCCGATGAAATCCCTGGAGTCATGGCTGCGAGGGGCTCAATGCTTGTTGGCGAGGCTTGACCTGGAAGGTATGGTATAAGTCTCGGCAACAACGTCAGGGTGCTGTTTCCACACTGTCGGCAAGCATATCACTGCCCAGGGCGGCGAACGCATTGCAGACAGGGGCGGAATACAGCAACTCCGACAGGGTTACTACTTCCTTTGCTGATTTCTCAGATGCGCCTCTTCCCCTGAACTAGTGGAAGGGCTCCTGCTAGCATGTGCTCTGTGCAATGAATGCTTGCCCTGCTGTGCTAACAGCATACTTCGCAGCTTGTAGCACTCATTAGAGGTATGACCTGAAGTGTTATGGTACATGCAAACTCCTTCTCGATACTGTTCGTGGGGACGGTGACGGTTACCTCGCAGGGACTTAGGTTTGTAACATTCGGATCGGTAATGCCTGCATTTGCCGCAATTAAAGCAAGTCACCATGCACTTAGCAGGTGGAGCTGGAGGTGGTGTGTGCTGGTGATGTTTTACCTTGGTCCTGGAAGTCAGTGAGAGTTTCTTTGTTTTAGACCAACTGTTCTTACTAGAATCACTATTTGTATTCGGCCTATTGTTAGTAGTACTGGGTTTGGTAACCTTGAGGACTGGCTGTCTGACAGCTGCGGCGAAAGTGACCTCCTGCTTTGCCTGTGGCATCGCTGTGGTTGATGCCGGAAGGACCGGCAAGGGATCATCAGCAAAGCGGCAAACCTTGCCTTTCTCGGCAGGTGGCTTGACGGCATCGATGGCATCATATGCACCCAGGACTGTGTGCCTGGGGCCGAGCCCTAATGTATCAATGGCCCCCTGGAGACTAGGTGGGAGCATCCCTCCGCATGATGCCTATGGCGAGCATCGGGATGATGTCTTTTACCTTGATACTATCATCGTCAGTCACCCACTTAGTAGAATGTATCGCATCACCGAAATCTTTAGCAGCTTACTCAAAATGGCAAATACAAGCCAGGGGGCTTTTGTGCCTGTACTGACACTCTATCAAGAGGCTGGTTAAAATCTCAAGGTAGTGGCACTGACGACTACGCTGAAAATAGCGTCTAAATTCCTCCTTAAGCGCATTCGAAGACTGAATCTCACAAACACTTACTATGTTGTCTCTTAACGTGCTAGTGACACCCCTGCTTTTCATTGGGGAGATGTTGCATCGTCTGCCGAGTCTTTTGCTTTCGTAGCAAGTGATTTTCATGTGCAAGTTTGGTACTAGTCCCTCTAGGATTTTCCAGGTGTGCATAATCATTTATCTCTCCCGTCTGCATTCCAGGGAGTACAGGTTCAGGAACTTCAAGCGCTCCCAGTAATTGAGGTGTTTTATCTCCATTACGCGTGCCATGAAGGTTCTCTGTACATTTTCTAGGGCGAGATCCACTGCTGCAATAGCAGAGGGGCTATCGTATTGAGCCTTAACGGTCGTCTCGACTGACTGCAGCCATGGCTCTAACCTATTTGAACGCCCGTCAAAAAGAAGGGTCGAATATGGATGATTAGCCAACCTACTTGTGGTCGAGACTCGAGCCACGGCTTGACCAACCATCAGGAGGGCTTTGCCCTCCTGCCATGTGGTCACAACAGCTGAGGCACCATTGGCGTCGGCAGGAACTGGACTAACGTGACAGCCACTGCGTGTGAATCATGACGTCAACTGTTCAAACGCAAGCAGATCACAAAGAAGGTAAGCAGATCAAAGCAAGAAATGGTATGCACTGGGCTACAACTCAACACAGAGTCAGAGAGAACACAGCACCATGGTGCTAGGTAAACTGCTTAGTGACTGAAATATTTTGAGCAAATCAACAACAAAAAAAATAGTAGTACACTCTGAAACACAAAATTAAAATTGTATGCAAGTGAATGAACTACAGGGGAGTACATAAAATGATGCTAAGGTTATTTAGCAATTGCATCAGTAGACTGGCAACAAAATTTATGATAAGTAGAACTGTAAGAACTGGTAGCAAAAGTTGCACAAAGTTAAAATAAATCAGGTATTACACAATACTGAACTGTGCTGCAAGGTTTCTCAATACACAGCAAAAGGTTGCAGGTGCTGGCAGTTGCAATTTGGAATGCAAAAAAAAAATAATTCACCTTGAGGGTGACAACAATGATATCAGAGTATGGAATATTACCAAAAAATCATAGAAATTCACTGTATCAAGAAATGCTATATTGCATATAAAATAAAATTAATAAAATGCAAATTATCAAATTCAATAATAAGGGCAATGGTTAACTGGTGTTAGCAGGGTGTAAACTGGTGTTAGCAGGGTGTACACTGGTGTTAGCAGGGTGTACACTGGTGTTAGCCGGGTGTACACTGGTGTTAGCAGGGTGTACACTGGTGTTAGCCGGGTGTACACTGGTGTTAGCAGGGTGTACACTGGTGTTAGCAGGGTGTACACTGGTGTTAGCAGGGTGTACGCTGGTGTTAGCAGGGTGTACGCTGGTGTTAGCAGGGTGTACACTGGTGTTAGCAGGGTGTACACTGGTGTTAGCAGGGTGTATGCTGGTGTTAGCAGGGTGTACACTGGTGTTAGCAGGGTGTACACTGGTGTTAGCAGGGTGTACACTTGTGTTAGCAGGGTGTACACTGGTGTTAGCAGGGTGTACACTGGTGTTAGCAGGGTGTACACTGGTGTTAGCAGGGTGTACACTGGTGTTAGCAGGGTGTACGCTGGGTCAGGGACACTGGTGTTAGCAGGGTGTACACTGGTGTAGCAGGTGTACACTGGTAGAGGTGTACACTGGTGTTAGCAGGGTGTACACTGGTGTTAGCAGGGTGTACACTGGTGTTAGCAGGGTGTACACTGGTGTTAGCAGGGTGTACACTGGTGTTAGCAGGGTGTACACTGGTGTTAGCAGGGTGTACACTGGTGTTAGCAGTTTCCCAAAAATGCACTCAATGACAAGGGCATAAACAATAGCAAAATGCAATACGCATTGGTGAAAAGGTACAGATAAACATAGATGTGGAGCAAATAAATGGGGACACAGGAGAAAATTTGAAGTGGCTACCTGGCTAGGCACAGATTGTATCACTACAGGTTGAATAAACACTCTGACTCTTAAGAACTTGAAAATTATACTTTAAAACACACTAACAAACAAAACTGTGCAGAGTTGTCAACAATCTGTTGCTAACTTGCAGCTGCAACTAACAAAACAGCACACAGGAATTACTTCCAAACTGTATATGAAAGAAAACTGTATAAATGATTAACACTGAACAATTTAAGTCAATGAGAACTGAGGTGCAAGATGAAGAATAATGTGCTGGACTAAAATGTGCAAAATAAATGTAGAAAATGTAAGAAGTCTGTTGATAAATGGCAAAATGTTGAGTGTGCACTGATAACTGAAACTGAACAATTCACTGAAAGTATGGCTTCAGCGATGACTGTATTGGTGATGGACAGTTAAATAATGTCACAATTATTAGGAAATGCTAGGTAAGTCACTGTTTACTTAACTTTATGTGTAGGTAAGAGGTGCTGAAGGTGCTGCAACTTTCAGTGATGTACTGGTAATACTACGCGCCTCGTAGCAATTGTAGACTGCTATGGGGCTTCAATGATGTAGGAAAAATTATCAGGATAGGCATGGGAAGAACGAATAACTCAGCGAAGGTAAAATGGGTGAGAAATTGTGACTAACTCTCCGAGAGCCGCCGCGCGAGGTTTGTTTACACTGGCAAGCGTGTCCGGGCGCGCTGACTGACTGCGGCTTCAGCACGCGGGGAGTTATTAAATGGAGAGTTAGAGGTATTACCTGGAGTTTACCTGGAGAGAGTTTCGGGGGTCAATGCCCCCGCGGCCCGGTCTGTGACCAGGCCTCCTAGTGGATCAGCGCCTGATCAACCAGGCTGTTGCTGCTGGCTGCACGCAAACCAACGTACGAGCCACAGCCCGGCTGATCAGGAACTGACTTTAGGTGCTTGTCCAGTGCCAGCTTGAAGACTGCCAGGGGTCTGTTGGTAATCCCCCTTATGTGTGCTGGGAGGCAGTTGAACAGTCTCGGGCCCCTGACACTTATTGTATGGTCTCTTAACGTGCTAGTGACACCCCTGCTTTTCATTGGGGGGATGGTGCATCGTCTGCCAAGTCTTTTGCTTTCGTAGTGAGTGATTTTCGTGTGCAAGTTCGGTACTAGTCCCTCTAGGATTTTCCAGGTGTATATAATCATGTATCTCTCCCTCCTGCGTTCCAGGGAATACAGGTTTAGAAACCTCAAGCGCTCCCAGTAATTGAGGTATTGGGAAGATGGAGGGAATATTTTGAGGAATTGTTAACGAGACTTTGTCGCCAATACAAAGAAAGGCTGAGAGCACTTAGAGTTGTGGCAGGTTTTCATCCCAGGTATGGTGCTAATGTTAAAATTGTAAAAATGATGTATCTGTAGTGATACTGGTCCTGTGGGGAGCAGCAGCAGGATAATACTGCACCACCTCTAGGGGCCCTTAACAACAACAACAGTTTGGTGTGTGTCATGGGCACCAACACATGGTGTGTGATTCTCTCCTACTTTATCCATTTATCAGCGATGCAGATTACATGGTGAGTTTAAATATGTGGCCTGTAGTTATAACTTTTCTCTTGACATATGCAAGACATCACCATCCCTGTAGAAGCCATTATTAGATGTACTAGTCATTATATTTTGTTGTTGCAGAAGTACTATGAAGATTCTATGTTCAATAAAGCCTAGAGATAAGGCCTGTGTTTCTATCACAACAATTTATTGAACATAGAATCCTGGGCTACCTGGTGGTGATCCTGCGCTAGACTACATCACAACATGGAGCGTTTACTGAAACCTGAGAGGCTAGACTGTGACCCAGCTTATCAACGGCTGCTCAGGAATGGAAGCACTGGTTTAAGACTTTCGAAAACTTCTTGGGAGCCCTTCCTAAAGAAGATCTAGATAAACTAAGTCTGCTCATCAATTTTGTGTCACCTAAGATATATGAGGCTATTTCTGAGTGTAATACCTACGAAGATGCTATCAAAACCCTCAAGTCTCAGTATATTAAACCTACAAATGAAATCTTTGCACGCTATCGCCTTGCAACTCGCCGCCAGCAGATTGATGAGTCCTTAGAGGAATACTTTCAAGCACTGAAAATTTAGGTAAGGACTGTCACTTCCAAGCAGTGACAGCTGCTCAGTATTGTGAAGAGTCCATCAGGGATGCTTTTATCAGTGGCCTGCAATCACCAATAATAAGGCAGCGTTTATTGGAGAATAAAACTCTCGACTTAGCCGCTGCCTTTGACCAGGCAAGAGCTCTAGATTCAGCCCAGAAGAATTCTGAAGTATACAGTACCACTCAGCCTTCTCGAGTGGTAAGTGCTGCAATTCCTGACCAAGACTCTTGCAATGAAGTTACTGGGGAACCTGCCTCAGTGACAGCAGCAGCAGGTACGGTGTGTTTCTTTTGTGGTTTTTCAAGACATCCACGTCCAAAGTGTCCTGCTCGTGAAGCAATGTGCCATAAATGCCACAAGAAAGGTCACTTTGCTAAAGTATGTCGTGCTAATGCATCAACAAGAGCTAGTGCCACTCAGCGTGTCAGCGTGCCTCGTTGTGCTCCCGGTTTTTCTGGTGTTTTCACGGTCGCTCTTACGTGCTAGAACTTTAATTTGTGTCATCAATCCTATACGATACATCCCTCTAGCGCCTGGAACCAATCTTGGGCGGAAAACATTATATACTGAGTAAAAAAAGGAGAATTATGTGCACTTCCTACAG